CATTATCTTAGGCATTCAAGTTTGGGTAATTAAAGACTTTGGTAATCATAGTTCCTAAAGGGAGATTTAGGAAACTAAATGATATAGCAGTAAATTTACTAAGATGTCCTGGGACCCAGAAAACAACAGAGTGTACAAAAAAGCAATTTAATAATGCACTTGAAGTCTACTTTTCTTTTTCTGATTCTGGGAACAGATGCCATGACCTTGTACTTGCCAAGCAGACACTGTGCCATGGAGCTCTATCCCAAGCCCTCAAAGACCACCTTCAAAATAACAAAAATAAGAAAATTTTTGAATAATCATATTGAATTATGCAATATTCAAGAAGCTCCACAAACATGTTTGGAATAATAATCAGGATTGCCATCAACTTTAAAATTAAAAAAAATGCAGCACATTCTACACAACAAAGACCCCTGAAATTGGAGTTAAGACATGAACTAAGCCCTTTCATAGGTTCAGTGTGGGGCAATTCAGGCTCGGCCTCAGCAGAAACACTGGCAAAGCTGGAGCCTCCAAGGTAGGGCCCAGCTTTTCAGAGCCTCAAGCCAATGTATGAACATACAGTGGCGGAAGGATGCTGGGTGATATTTTTAACTATGTTCAAACAGTACAGATTTAAAATATTCACATATCATAAGCAAATTAAGATGATATCACCCAAGTGATATCATCTTAAATCTAAATTAAATAATGCAAAAATAATAAATTTAATTATTTGTGGATGATATGATACTCTACATAGAAGATACCTAAAACTCTACTTCTAGATTTAATAATAACTAAATTCAGTAGCACAGCTACAACATCAATATTCAAAAACTAATAGCCTTCCTGTACATGGATAACAATCTTACTGATAGAGAAATTAGGGAAATAACATCTTTCACAATACCATCAAGAAAGAAAGAAAGAAAAAAAAAGAAAGAAAGAAAGAAAGATAGATAGATAGATAGATAGATTTAGGAACCAATCAAATGAAGGAAGTAAAAGACCACGACATTGGAAAGTATTGTACTCTAAAAAATGAGATTGAAGAGGATATCAGAAAATGAAAAGATATTCCTTGTTCCTGGGTAGGAAGAACCAATATATAAGCAAACAGCCATACTTTCAAAATTACTATACAGATTTAATGCAATCCCAATCAAAATACCACTAGCATACCTCATAGATCTATAGCAAGCAATCCTTAAATTCATTTGGAACCAGAAGAGACCTAGAATACCAAAGACAGTTCTGAGCAATAAAGCCAAGGCAGGGGGCATCACAATCCCAGATTTGAAATTATACTAAAATGCTACTGTGATTAAAAACAGCAGTAGTGGCAAAACACCAACGTGGGGATCAGAATAGAAGATGCAAAATCACCTCTAGACACATTCAGCCACCTTATCTTTGACAAAAGTGCCAACACCTTCAATGAAAGAAAGACTCTTTAAAAAATAATGCTGGAAAAACTAGCTTTTTCACATTTCAAATATTAAAATTAGACCCATATATTTTACCATGCATTAAAATAAAATCAAAATGGATCAAAGATCTAAACATTAAAAGAAAAACACTAAACCTGCTGGCAAGAGATAATAGGTAGAACTATGTAGGCACAGACTTTGTGAACTAGAGCCCAGTTGCACAGGAGCAATCACAAGGAATCAAAGAATCAACAACTGGGATCTCAACATATTAAGATGCTTCTTCCCAGCAAGAGAAATGACCAACAATGTGTAGAGACGATCCTCAGTGTAGGAAAAAAAAATTGCCAGCTATTCCCCAGACAAAGGACTACAATCTATAATTTATAAAGAACCCAAGAAATTCACACCCCTCCAAATTTAAAGACCCAATCCAAAAATGGGCATCTGAAATAAATACACTTAAAGTAGAAACCACAAATAAATATATTGAAAATGTTCAATATCATTGGTCTTTTCATATATGCAAATTAGAACGATGCTGAGGTTCCATCTCACCCCAGAAAGAATGACTATTATCAAGAGATCAACCAATCGTAAGTGCTGGCAGGGCTGTGAGGAAAAAGGAACCCTCCTCCACTGTTGTTTGGAGTGTAGACTGATGCAACCCCTGTGGAAAGCAGTGTGAAAATTGCTCAAAAAACTAGGACTAGAGGCATCATTTGACTAAGCTATCTTGGTATTTTCTTGAAAAAATTGAGGGTCTGCTAGTTAACTCAGTTGTTTAAGTGCCTGCTCATGCAAATGCAGTCAGGCACAGGTGAGCACAGTTCGATCCCCAGATCCACATGCATTACCAGATCTGCCCTTAAGGCTGCCTGAGCCA